TCTTCTCGGGGCTTGCCACGGCACACAGATGCAGAGAGAGACACACACTCCCAGAGCAACATACTCACAGAGAGATACACACTCACAGACATACATACACACACACACATACAGAGTGGAGAGACACACAGAAAATCTAAACAGCGGGTCCTCATAGTGAGCTAAACTAATTTCCCACTCATGCCGCACCGCGTATGCACATCTGAAGCCGCTGCACCCACAGTTGCAGCAGAGAGAGTCGAGTAAACAGCCGGCAACAACCCCCAGAGGCCGGGGCGCTGAGGAAACTTCATTTTTACAGGTTTTTAGCGGAGGGGGGTAGTTTGTAGAGGAGGGTAGTTTGTAGCGAGGAGGAGGGTGGCTTGTCGCGGGGGGGGTGGCTTGTCGCGGAGGAGGGTGGCTTGTCGCGGAGGGGGGTGGCTTGTCGCGCGGAGGGGGGTGGCTTGTCGCGCGGAGGGGGGTGGCTTGTCGCGGGGGGGGTGGCTTGTCGCGCGGAGGGGGGGGGTGGCTTGTCGCGCGGTGGCTTGTCGCGCGGTGGCTTGTCGCGGAGCGGGTGGCTTGTCGCGGAGGCGGTGGCTTGTCGCGCGGTGGCTTGTCGCGCGGTGGCTTGTCGCGCGGTGGCTTGTCGCGCGGTGGCTTGTCGCGCGGTGGCTTGTCGCGCGGGGGTGGCTTGTCGCGCGGAGGGGGTGGCTTGTCGCGGGGGGGGTGGCTTGTCGCGGAGGAGGGTGGCTTGGCGCGGAGGGGGGTGGCTTGTCGCGGAGGGGGTGGTTTGTAGCGAAGGGGGTGGTTTGTAGCGAAGGGGGTAGTTTGTAGTGGAATGGGGTGTATGTAGCACCATTCTATTGGCACAGCTGATAGCCATCACGCAGGACCCCAGTTACTGTAGGAACAGAAATGGATGTAGGAGGGATCATGAGAGTGAATAAAAATCAGAAGTCAGAATATCTTATGTCACTTTTGCAATTTTTCTCTAGCAACAAAGCACTTACCTGTGCTGGCATACATAGTATGTAGAATATTCTCAGTGAAGGTGAAAGGGCACTGTTTTACAACACATACTAAAGCAGAAACAAAAACAATGTCTATTGTAATTTTAACAATTATTGTATATGCAGTTTGAAAGGTGCCTGGATGCAACTAGTTTCTATTAGTAAGGAATAATGTGTAAACACACCAGATCAGCCCAAGTGCATTATTCTAGATTTACAGTACATATTTATTTGCTTTTGTACTCAGCTCATTATACAAATCACCAGGTTCATAGTTTTAGATTTATTTGAAGGACTGTTTTACCTTTCACAACATTTTGAACCAAATATATCAGCGGGACTGCATCGTATTTTTCCATAATCTTTGTGTTGAAACTAGCCTCAGACAGATGTGGCCATATCTGCGATAAACAGGTCCTTAAACCTATATTAAACTTAATATTTTAGCCTTTAATCTCTTGCCGTCATTACAGCTTCTGATAATCCTATGTCCTGAGTATCCAAATTAATCTTCATGGAACAGGCGGCAAACAAAGCTGAATCCTGCTCAATGCTCATTTATGATCTTTTTAGCGTAGGGGGAAGTTTGTAGCAGAGGGTTCGTTTGTGTTCGTTTGTATTTATGATCTCGTGGAGTCCTGTAGCTCAGTGGGTAGAGCACTTGCCTCGCAAGCAAGAGACCCGTGTTCGATTCCTGGTAGGGCAAAACGTTGGGTAAGTTGCCTAACTCCACATGCCTGTTTACCCAGCAATAAGTAGGAACCCAGTTGTTAGTCGATTGTCGGATCTCTTTTCCGGGGATAATAATCCTTAAAAAAAAAATTGGTCACTCAATCGACGACTGTTTGTGGGACACTGCTGTGCGCAACTGGCTGTCGTGTTTCATTCACAAATATACAGTCAATTCACTTACAGTATATTCTGTGAAGTGCTTTGAGACATCTAGAAAACGTGAAAAGCGCTACATCAAAAAAAAATGCAAAATGCAAGGATTATCTTTCAGCTGTGTCAATGACACCGATGGTTGTGGCAGAGTTGACCTATAATCTAACCACAAGTTGACAGCTTTCTGCATGGAAAATCCGAACAGGAGAACATTCTCTTTATGAAGCACCAGTCTGGTTTCCATATTCGTCTGATTTTATTGTGAAGTCAACAGGTGTGAGAAAGGATCGTTTTGGGGGGCGGGTTATATCCCCATAACCGAACACCCCATCAACAATGCAGCACAGAAGGAGGCCATTCAGCTCATCGAATCAGCACCAGATCAGAGACTGGAGATCAATTCACCGCCCTTTCTTAGCCGCATACTCCTTCAAGCCCCTCGCTTTCATATCCCTGTCTATTTCCCTCTCCAAAGTTATAATGGTCTCTGTCTTAACCACCCTACTTGGCATTCCACATCCCAACAAGTCTGAGTGAAAGAATTCTCCTTACCCTGTTCTTAAAAACTATCTTTCTTCATCACTTCCTTATGAATGGAAAAAAAGTTTATTTACCATCAAACACTCCTCATAATTTTGTACACATCTATTAGGTCCCCCTCAACCTTCTCTGCTCCAATAAAAATAGGCCCATCTTCTTCAATCCCTCCTTATAACTTTAGTCCTTCATCCCTTGAATCATTCTTGTAACCCTCCTGTGCACTCTCTCTAAGGCCTTAACATCTTTTCTGAAGGGAGGTATTGAAAACTCAACACAGTACTCCAATAGTGGCCTAACCAATGATTTGCACAAACTTACTTGACGCACATGGATGGCTAATGCAATACAAAAATACATTTGTATAGCGCCTTTCACATCAGGAGGACATCCCAAGGTGCTTTGCTGATGCATTTTGACAAAGTTACTGGGACCAGTTGAGTAAACAGAACTCCTACACCAGGAGCTACAATTACTTGAACCCAGGAAAAGTACATTGTGAAAGTCCCTGAACCTTGTACAAATAGTTCAAACACACATCATTGTTTGGAGTCCATTGTAACCTTAATTATAGAATTTCACACAAGTGGTCAGTTCTGAGAAGCTATTTAGATATCAGCAGGATTCATGAGGGAGAGTAAATGAAGGTGCAAGGAGGGAAATACATTAATATCACAATAATCTGCCCACAACCCAATGATGTGCAAGATGCAATTACATTCACCTGCAACCCTCAAGCTAAGTGGAATTGCCCAACTAATGAATGATCCAAACAGACTGTGAGAAAAAGGGACCTCTGCCAGGGCAGACTGCTGCACTTGAGACACACACTATTGCAAAAAAGCCAAAGGCTGTCTGGCCAAAGAATAGTTTTTTGGGGGCGGGTGAGGGGAAGAGGAGATTTTCTAAGTGACACTTGATGGTTTTCTTTAAAAATAAACACAACACCATATTTTACAATAGCAAGTGGTTTCCTTTCTTTTTAAAGGAATGCTAATTAAATTGCACAGGGATGTTAATTCCAAATTTTGAACTTAAACACAAACTATTCAAAGTCAATCAAACGACTTATCAAAGACCAGAATTGAGTCAACAAGAAACAGCTGCAACTTTTAATTGAGTCAACTCTCGTGGCAACATTGGTAGAATAGTTTTGTGACCCATGCGGGTACGCAGTACTCCAGGGCATTGCTGATGACAGACCAGCCAGCCTGGCTCACCAGCAGGTCTTGGAGAGGCAGAGGATTCTTCCCACTCAACTCCTGTTAATCTTGTAAGCCAAACCCCTACCAGTAGGGTGGTCCTACTCGATAAATAGTAGGAAACTTGCCAGACAATGCTTTCAATGGCAAGGTATGCAGTATTAGCAGTATTAGTTAAACTCCAGCAGTACCCTTACTTTGTACCCCAAGCCTTTGCCACCCTACAATAATAATGCTCGCATCTAATTCTGTGCATCTCACTGCAGAAGGTTGTCTCAAAGTACTTTACTATAAAGGATGTCCCCAGCTACTGGTGATGGCGGGACACCACCGGATGGGTATTCAACCCCAATGTGGGGCTTGCACCCACAACCTTCTGACTTAAGAGAGTCAAGAGTGTCACCAGCTGAGCCAGGCTGACAACCTGCAGCTAACACTCTGTAATTTGGTTGGCAGGATGTGTGCCTCTGGGGAGACAGAAGCGTACACTCCATTCCCAACACGTGGGCATTTCCATGTGTAGGTGGATATGAAACCATACGTCAAACATAATGCATGGATTATAATAATCATTCTCGCATTTGATATAGCGCCTTACCACGTCGTCGAGACGTCTCAAAGCGCTTCGCAGAATACACCGTAAAGCGAACCGACCGTACATTTTGTGGGTGAAACGTGGCAGCCAACTGCGCTCGGCAGCAGCGTCCGTCCCACAAACAGTCGCGGATTCATTTTCTTTTTTTTTAAAAAAAAAGAAAAGGGATTGTTAACCCCTGGAAAAGCGATCCGCCAATCGACTACCAACCGGGTTTACTGCTGGGGAAACAAGAGGCGTGTGGAGTGAGGAAACTTGCCCAACATTTCCCCGCTGTCCGGGAATCGAATCGAGTGCCCTAACCGCTGAGCTGCAGGACTCCACGTTACTTGCAATATTATTATTATTATTATTATAAGTGCAGCCTGGCTCAGGGGCAGTCTGACGCACGGTGACGGGGTTTCCTTCCTCGCCCCTTTCTACGCAGGCAATAAACAACGACAACAACAACAACAACAACAACTCCATTGGTGTAATTGGCGCCTTTCACATCGGGAGGGCGTCCCAAGGCGCTACGACAGTCGGGGATTATTTTTTTTTTGGGGGGGTTGGGGGGGGGTTTGTTGGGTGATGACCAAAATAAAAATACAATGAGGGGGAGGAGGCCCTACTGTAAAAAAAATGAATTAAACCCTGGCAGAGCTGAGGGGTGATTTTTTTTTCGCCGCATTATTTTGTGTGTGTGGTGTGGTCGGTGGGGGGGAGGGAGGGAGGGGGGGGGGGGGGAAGGGGGGAAATACCCCCTCTGTTTGGTGTCTGGGGTTTTTTTTGTGTGGTGTCTGAGCCACTCACTGGTTCTTCTTCTTGTTGATGTTGTTATTGCGGACGACGGCGGTATTTATCGCCGCCTCCTCCTCCTCTCCCTCTCCCTCCTCTCCCTCCTCCTCCTCCTCTCCCTCCTCCACTCGGTAAAACTCGAAGCGTTTCCAGCCGACCTCCGTCTTCACCCAACAGCCTCCCGGCGATCTCCAGTCCTGCCCCAGGAAAGGCATGATATGATATGATATGATAGGCGCAGCAGCTCTCTGGCCCCCGGGGTGGTGGTGGGTGGGTGGTGGTGGTCCTTCCTTCCTTCTTCCTTCCCACCCGCTTCACAGTCTAATTCACCATCAGAGACTGACAGCCTTCCCTCGCGCCGCCGCCGTCGACCGTTGGCGGGGACACCGCGCGCAGCCTCAGCCTTTTCAAACGGCTCCTCGAGCTCCAACTGCCACCGCTCCGAACGCTTCCTCGAGCGCCAGCTGTCACTGTGCCCTCTGACCTCGGTCGGTCACTCCCTCTCTGTCTGTTACAGTGTCACTGTGTGTGTGTGTGTCCTCTCATTGATTCGGTCCTCCTCTGTTATTGTTTACTCCACTCCTGCCCTCCCCCTCCCCTTTTATAGATGACGCGTTAAGCACCGACCCCACCCCCCTCCTTCGGCGCGTCTCCAAAGCCCCGCCCCTCAACGCGTGTTCTGACTGGTCGAGTGAGGCCATGTGTCCCCGCCCCTTCGGTCGGACACCACGACAACCAATCGGATGCCGGTTCTCCCCCCATCCCTTCCACCCCGGCAAGCGGACTCGCTGATTGGTCGGTCTGGACGTCAATCAGTGAGGCAAGGGAGGCGAGTCACGCGGACCTGTCTATCAACGTCGGCTGCAATCACGTGACTGAGTCTTGCATTGGAGGTGTTGGGATTGGCTTCACATTATTTTGTATTATTTTTCCATTTTCTTTCCCTTTCCTCAGTTTTTATTAGTAATAGTCTTCTGCACGTCCCTCGTATTCCTCTGTCCCACCATATGGCGGCCACGCTCCATTAGCTTTCCTATAGCAGACCTATTTCGCCCACAAAATACGCAGTCACTACACTGGTAATGGGAAGTCTCGAAAACGATATAAATGCATTACAGTTACCTACCTTTTCCCTCCCTTCTTGAGTAATGGAGCGATCGCAATTTTTCCAATCCCCAGATGTCAATCCAGAATCCAGTGAAATGTGGAAAATTTTAGCTGATACCTCAGCAATTTCATCGCTTAATTCTCTTTAAAATATATTACATTTTAGTATACATGAAATCCTGTAAGTTCCTTACTTTCACTAACTCTTAGTCTTCTGCAAACTACTGGTATTTTATCTTCTACAGTGAACAATGATGCAAATAATTTTTTTTAACAGTGATCTCCCCTTCTCCATTTCAAACACCACACTAAATTCACATATTATGTTATGGTCACCGGTTCCAATAATAATTGTCCTTATTATTAGTGCTGCTGTAATGTTCTCAGGCTATATGAAGCTTGAAGTCACCTATTACAACTACATTACCTCTGCTGCAAGTTTCCCTGATCTGCATATAAAAAATTTCTTCCCCATCATCATTGCTCTCAGGCGGTCAATAAAATGACTGCTACCAAATTCCAACAACCTGTTCTGTTTCTGAGCTCCACCCATATTGAATCTATTTCCTGACCACCCTTAGTTTAATTCCTTTTTCTCAATTGCCAAAATTTTATCTCCTATTGATAATATAAAAACATAAGAATATAAGAAGTGTTATATGAAAAAATGACCGAGGTCCTTCTATTTTGCCTTCCACCTTCCTGGCAGTTGCATGCACATATATCTCGAACTACCTATGTACTATATCCCATGATGTTATTTCCTAAAAGAAACCTATCTAATCTGTGTTTGAAGTGATCTACGCTTATTGCTTCAACCATTTCCCTAGGGAGCCCGTTCCGCATGTTTACTATTCACTCTGGTGTTCTCTGGTTTTACTATTCTGGACTAGTTGAAACAGCCTGTCATGATCTATATAGTTTAGGCCCTTTAGAGTCTTAAAAACAGCAATCAAATCTCCTCTCAAGCTTCCCTTTTCCAGCGTGAACATGCCCAATTTACTTCGTCGCTCCTCATAGTACAATCAATCATTCTGGCTGCCCTCCTCTGCATCCTCTCGATTTCTCCCTAATGCTTTTTGGACTGCGGCGTCCAGAACTGTACACAGTACTCTAAGTACGGTCTCACCAGTGATTTATACAGTGGCAGGATTGCCCACTATTTTGGCTTGCAATCGATCTTTTGATATGTCCCGTCATCTGGTTTGCTTTACTCACTGCAACAGAGCAATGTTGCAAGAGCTTCAATTTATTATCAATCAGGACCCCCAGGTCCTTTTCATTTTCCATACATGTTATTTTCCTTTCATTGAAATAATATTCCCTTCCTGTTGTTTTTGTCCCCATGTGAAGTACTTTGCATTTCTCCACATTAAATTTCATCTGCCACCAGTCTGCTGAATTCCCAAGTATGTTCAAATACAATAATAATAATAATCCTTGCATTTGATATAGCGCTTTTCATGTCTTCTCGACGTCTCAAAGCGCTTCGCAGAATAGACTGTAAAGTGAATTGACCGTATATTTGTGGGCGAATCCTCCTGTAACCTATCCTTGTACAGCTTTTCAATCTACCACCTTCATTAGCTTGGTGTCATCTGCAAACTTAGCCACTGTGCTTGTGACTCCTAGTTCCAGATCACTTATAAAAATATTAAACAAAAGAGATCCCAAAATAGACCCTTGCGAAACTCCACGGGTAACATTTTCCCAGTCTGATGACATTCCCTGTACCACCACCCTCTGGGTTCTTCCTGCCAACCAGTTACGAATCCACTGTAATATACTTCCACTGATTCCCGCTTTCTTTATTTTCAGTACCAGCCTCTCAAGAGGAACTGTATCAAAGGCCTTAATAAATAATGTTACATCCCTGCTCTTTTCCTGTTCCCTATCTTTCCTAAATATCCTATAGCCCAGTATATTTCACTGCCAATCCTGCCCAGGTTTTAGCCAGGTTTCTGAAATTGCTATCACTTTGTATACCCCTTTACCTGAATTTGGGCCTCTCGTTCACTAGATTTATTCGTTATGCTGTGGTGTATTAATAGAAAAACACATTAAAGATCTCAAGGTATAATTCGAAAACAGGAGGAAGTTTCTACCGGTGTCAAAGCCAACAATCCCCAGATTAAATTGATGATTCACTTCATGGCTGTTGGTGAGATATTGCTCTATGAAAATTGGCTACTGCATTTTACTACAAATACAATCTTTACATTTTACAAAATACATTGTGAGTATTTCGAGACACTTCGATAATATCATAAGGCACTATATCAAATATAAGGATTATTTATAATAATGTGTTTCGAGAGAGTTTTATTGGTTTAACTGACAGTAAACTTCACCAGGTCTCATTTAGTGAAGACTAATCTGATAATAGTAGACAGTGTGCTATTATGCTGCCATTAAACAATAGGGTTTTGTTTAAATAAGATGATGTAGTCCAATGTTTGTCAAATAATACAACAATGGCTTAATGTTGCCATTAAGTGCAATTTTCCACAAAAGATTTCTGCAGATAATAATAGCTCCTATTTTCATCGGCTGTGATTTGAAAATAAAGGCTATCTTACTTAAATAATACCCAATTTACAATAATTTTAAGATGTATTGGAATTTTTAAAAACTTATGAATGGTTCGTTGTTCATATTAATGTGTCAACAATCCAGCCTGCACTAATAATAATAATCCTTGAATTTAATATAACACCTTATGACGTCTTCACAAAATATACTGTAAAGTGAATTGACTGTATAGTTGTGGGCGAAACGTAGCAACCAGTTGCGCACAGTAGTGTTCCACAAATGGTGTGGATTGAGTGACCAAATTATGATGAATTTTTTTTGAGGGATTATTATCCCAGGAAAAGCGATCCACCAATCAACTAACAAGCGGGTTCCTACTTACTGCTATGTAAACAGTGATGTGTGGAGTAAGGAAACTTACAACATTTTGCCTTCAGGAACCTCGGGGTTCTGTTCGACCCTGAGCTGTCCTTTCTCCCCCATATCCGCGCCACAACTGGCATCGCCTTCCATCACCTCCGGAATGTCGCCAGACTACGGCACTACCTCACCCCTCACGCTGCTGAAACTCTGGTCCACGCCTTTGTCACCTCAAGGCTGGACTATGGGAACTCTCTCCTCGCCGGCCTTCCCGCCACCTCCCTCCACAAGCTGCAGGTCATTCAGAACTCTGCAGCTCGTGTACTGTCCCGCACCAGGCTTCGGGACCACATCACTCCCACCCTCGCTCGCCTCCACTGGCTCCCCATCCCCCAGAGGATCGAATTCAAGATCCTCATCCTCACCTACAAGGCCATTCACGGCCTTGCTCCCTCCTACCTCTCCAACCTACTATCACCCTACCTACCTGCCCGTACCCTCCGTTCCTCCGGCTCTGGTCTGCTCCATGTCCCCCGCCCCAATCGCCCTACCATCGGTGGTCGGGCCTTCAGCCTCTCAGCCCCTAGGCTCTGGAACTCTATCCTCCAGTGCCTTCACCGCCTCCTCCCTTTCCTCCTTCAAGGCCGGTCTCAAAACCTTTCTCTTTGACCGTGCCTTCAGCTCCCCTCTCGACTCTCTTCCCCCTCCTCGCTCCCTCCCTTCCCTCCCCTCACCCTGACCATTTCCCCCCTGCTCGGGTCCTGACCCAACTGTACAGCGCCTTGGGACGTCCTCCCGATGTGGTGCTCTATAAGGCGATCTATAAATGGAATCTTGTTGTTGTTGTTGAGTGCTCTAACGCCCAAGCTGCAGGATATATTATCTCCCTCCCTGCTCTCTTCAGGTTAGGTTGCATAACATGCTGTATTAAACATTTCATAATAAAATAATCCTTGCATTTGATGTTGCGCTTTTTACGTGCTCTAGATGTTTCAAAGCGCTTCACAGAATATGCTGTAAAGTGATTTGACTGTATATTTGTGGGCGAAATATGTCTACTTTAGTATGTAGCCTAAGTCCTTATAAACGTAGATCAGACTGAAAGTGACTGACAAGATTGCCAGATTTATCAACATTGCAAAATGGTTGAAACAAAATTCAGTTCAAAACTGCGAAATAAAACTGCAAGGCTCCCATATCCTACTCTGACATTTCCTGCGGATCACAAGTTTTATTTTACTCTTGAATATTTCTGAGACATCGTCCCAACGTGAAAGGCAGTGTGTAAATGTAAAATTGTTGTTGTTGTTCCCTGTTTTCCTTGTTGCATGTAGTGTGAAGGCATTCGAGAAAAAGCATCTTTGTTATTGTGTTCCGTGTAATTTTCTTTGTCTTATCACGTTACGAATCCTCATCCTCACCTACAAGGCCATTCACGGCCTTGCTCCCTCCTACCTCTCTGACCTACTATCCCCCTACTTACCTGCCCTTATCCTCCGTTCCTCTCGCTCCGGTCTGCTCCACATCCCCCGCCCCAACCGCCCTCCCATCGGTGGCCGGGCCTTCAGCCTCTCAGCCCCGAGGCACTGGAACTCTATCCCCCAGTGTCTTCGCCGCCTCCTCCCTTTCC